GGAGGCCCACGGAGACGACTCAGCCCTGGGCCCCGCTACTGGTGCTTATAAGGTTTGCAGGGTCCTATAGAGGGTTCCTATAGAGGTTGTATAGGGGCTTGTAGAGCTTCTAGGGTAGGTAGGGCCAATTCTTTTGTTTCGCAACCCCTCTATCCCAAACATGCCCCATGATTTCATACGCATGTGACCAAGTTGCCGGCGCAGAGCAGAGCAGGATAGGATTCAAGGCTACCCTCTGCCACCCTCTTAGGGGGCTTGTAAGGGTTTAAGGATCTGCTTGGCTCCTTCCCCAGTGTGGTGAGCTGGCTTCATCAAGATGTGCGAAACAAAGCAATGCGCCGACCCTTGGCAGGAAAGAAGCAGGATTACCACTCAGCCCCACTGAGGTAAGGTGCTCTTCTCACTGGAACCCCAACCATAAGATCCACCACCCAAATGGTCACCCAAAGCATGCATCAGGCGCAATCTCGTCAAGATTGGTATATGACCCTGGATTCGGGAACTCTCGTGGAACAGCCCTTCGAGCGCCATAGTGGAGGGGGAGAAAAGTATGCCAATTTCCGTGCCATTAGGTGCAAAAAACGAAAGAAACACCGGCTCAAACCTGCTTCGAAAAGGAAAGGCTTTCCCATACTCCGAGTCGCATCGTGCCCCCCGTGCGCCCATCCACGGCCGACGTGGAGCACTTCTGCACGTTCGCTGAGCAAGTGACTGGCCTCCGGGTGGGTACCGGGGTAGCCCCTTGAACTGGAGTACGTAGCAGATGTTCCCCGCCCCCCCCTCTCCCCCCCTCCCCCCCAAATACTAATGATTTCAACATGTTTGAGACTGCGCTGTCCTACGCTTCGGAGACACCGGAACCAACCCCAAACCCCTTCGACCCATAATGTGTTTGGCTAGCCATTCGGGAGATGGCGCCTTTATCTCGCTCACTTACTCCGTCCAGCATGCCGTATCCGCCGACCCCAGCCGGGGGCGGCGTCAGTGAACGCTCCGCTTGCTCCGCCCTTCCCCCGCTCCACCCGCCCTCCATGGCCCTCGACCCCCATGGCCCCCATGGACCCATCCCTTCGACCTCCATGGCCCCCATGGACCGATGGCTCCCATGAGCTTAGGGTTTAGGGTTTTCTTGGACGTTTAGGGTTTAGGGTTTCAGGGTGTAAGGGTTGTAAGTTTAGGTTTCGGGGTTCCGGGTTTCGGCATTGAGGTTGTAGGGTTTTGGGTTTAGGGCCGTCAGCGTGCCATCAGCAAGACTCTCTTAGATCTGGGGTCGGCGGCACTGGCGGTAGCCATTAAATCGGGCAGCGCGAGGTCCCCAAAGGACCGAGCAAATGCGGACCTTTTAGCCCGGGTCGTCCCGGGAATAGCCTTGCTGGCCTCTGGCCTTCTGCGAAGCAGAATTAGGCCGGACGCCAGTGCCGCCGACCCCCGCGTGCCGCCGGTGAACGGTTTTTTTTTCGTGGTTTTTTGCGTCGCCACGGAGGCCCCCAGAGGGCGCGCATCATGAGCATCAGCGGGTCCAGCCCGGGACCCCCAGGCGCGCATCAGGAGCATCAGCGGCTCCCGGGGCGGGACCCCGGGGGCGCATCAGGAGCATGATGCCCCCCAAAGGGCGGGCATAAGCGACGTGTCTAAGCCCGGGGCTAGGAAAAAGGGAGTTTAGGGGCCTTATAAAGTGCTTAGAAACGTTAAGGGAGTCTAGGAGCCTCAAACGCTTAGAGATTTGAAGGGAGTTTAGGGGCCTGAAAATGCTTAGAAACTTAACGCTTAGAGATTTTAAGGGAGTTTAGGGGCCTCAACATGCTTAGAAACTGCTCGCCCCGGGCTTCTGCGCGCGCTGCCCGCCCATGGGCGCAGCCCCTTAAAATAACTTACCACAAACTTACATAATCTCTTCACTCGAACCCCTTTTGGACAAAAACACCTCTGCAAGAAAGAAACTTCCCCTGGCCTCAGGGCCGCACAGTTCCCCACGCAGGGGACCACCAGCTCCTCCATGTTGGCTGTTCGGTTTGCTTTTGCTTCGAGGCACTCACAACAGGCATCTATGTTTGCCTATGTGGCAGACATTGCGGCAGATTCGGCAGCTTCGGTGGCAGGATGCCGACTCGGAGCACGTTCCGGGACATAAATGCAGTTCGGAGCACAGCGTCAGCTCAATGAGGCAGCGTTCGCGAGGCGAGGCCACAAAACCAGAACAGAATCGACATAGGCAAACAATCACCGACAAGCTGTGCTCCTCTGATTTGGAGTCTTATTTGGACAACATCAAGGAACACACTGTGGGCCTTTACCTTACGCCGTACCCCATGGTGCAGACGTGTGATGAGGTCATTGTTTCTTTCGAAAGTGGTCACATCTGTCATTCGCGCTTCCATGCATGTTGCAACACAGGTTCCCCTATCAGTCAATGTTGTTCTCTTACTGCCGCTCTGGTGCAAAACCGTGCCACAGAGTAATTCACTGTAAACGTTGAATATAGGGCTCATCAGTTCAGCCTTCCAATAGGTCAGAGCGCCCAGCCATGGAATCAGGTTCCTGCACCACGGTGTAGGGTTCAGGGTTTACAGCCTAGGGCTTGAGGGCACCCATATGGTTTCCAAACATCGGGGTCGCCATCATTTGGCGTTGCGAGCATGAACCCGCGTTAAACTTGAGGTGGAAGGCGGGACCAGCAAGGCATGATCAAGAAAGCTTCCCCCCCTCCCCCCCCCAACTGTGAGACTTTCGAAATTGAGGGCAGAACCTACACCCATCTCTAACTCCAAACTCTACTGCCTGCCCCTCCCACAACAAAGCCACAAGGAACACGACCAAGAAGGACAAGGGTAGCAAACCCAGAGCCGTAGTAACCATACCTGTTGCGTTCATTCCATTCGCATACACGAAACCAAACCCTTAAGAACGGACACGAACCTCCCACCACACAACCTCAGCCCTCAAGTCATTCAAAGCCTGAAGCCTCTATAGTTCCTCCTGTCAGCCCTACTCCCGCTTCCGGTACATAAGGGAACTAAATAGGCAGAGAATTACCCCCGCCCCTTTCCCCCTTGCCCCCCCCGGAAACCAAAACCCCTAAACCCTAAACCCAACCAAAAACCAGCGCCAAGGCACCCCCGACGCAGCTCGTAGCGACGGAGATGCCCATCCACGTGGATGCCGTCCGTGCGACTGACCATCCTCCGAGCTCTTTTTTGGGGAGGTTTTAGGTTGGGATGTTCCCCCTTCATACTCACAGTCCTTAATAGGCATTCTACGAAGGACTGTTACTATCAGGGGAGAACATCCCAAGTTTTAGGGGTTGTTTAGGGATGCCTAGGGGCGTTTATGGGGTTGAGGGATGCTTGGGGGTGTGTATAGGGTTCAGGGATTCTTAGGGATGTCTACAGGGTTTAGGGGTGCTTGCAGGGGTGTTTTTTTTCCACCCGTCTAGCCATGCTCCACGAGGCAACTGAAGAGGAATGCTGTGTACAGATGACTTCAAAGGGGTGTGTAGGGCGTAGGGATGCTGAGGGGTGTCTAGGGCTTGGTGATGTTTAGGGTCTAGGGTTTGTGTTTTTTCTCCGCGGGGCGAAACGCATCGCAGGTCATTCCCAGGGACTCCAATACCTAAACCATAATAGGGTTCCTTATACGGTGTAAGGGATGTTCTTTAATTAAGGGGTACTGGAGTTTCTGAGCTCAACTTGGGTTTAAGTTTAGGGTTTAGGGCAATTAGTTGGGATGTTCCCCCCTAAGACTAACAGTCCTTAATCGGGGTTATAATAAGGGGTACCATTCCCCATTAAGGACTGTTAGTATAAGGGGGAACATCCCAGCTAATTAGTTCTAAGTAGGGCTATGAGTGCCCCAACTAGGGTTACAGGATATAAGAAAAGTTCCCATAACTGCAACCCTACTTGTAACGACCCATGAGCCTCTCTAAGTAAGGTTCCAAAAAAAGTTACACCCAACTTCGGGGTCCCGCTGGCTTCCAGGTTTGCCACCAGGGATTCAGGGCTCGTTGGGGCTTCGGGCTTTGGATTTTCAGGTCTTTGGGGCATGTGTTAGGATGGCCCTTAAAACCCTCTGAAAAAATATTCCTGAAACATGATCCTCTTAAGCCCAATAAGGGAAGATATGAGATGTCGCAAGGGCCTACCTAGCATGGGAGACGTTGCAGCCTGGCGGGCTAAAAGTCCTTGAGTAGCAAAAGGTCTAAATTCACACCGGGCGGCCAGCAGTTCTTGTCCTTGACGCAAGCTTCCTGCGTTGGCCAGTATCCCTCGACGCTGCTTGCTTGAACGCCGTAGAGTAGAGGTTGACCACTTGCAATATGGGATCGGCTCATTCTGGTGCGACTGCCAGTGCGTGCACCATCCACTTTATCTAAGGGCCCATGTGCCTATATGGTATGGAGCCTTATCCGTGCACCACAAGTATTGAGACTCTTTAGGGGCCGTAAAGCGATCTCCAATACGCTGATGACCGGCCTGTGAAGATCGGTGCTTTCGACAAAAACAAAGGGACCCCTAAGACCCGAAGACAGCTAGCATGCCCTGAAAAGGACGTAGTAATACAGCAAGGTACCCCCGAATTTCGTGATTACTACCATGCCATAATCATGGGTTCTCCCCCTATCCCTAAATAACCTTACTTCTGGGGGGGAACCTAGGGGGAATAGTATAGAGGGGGGGGGTAGGGGAACCCATGCCACAAGATCCACCCCCCGTGCCTGGGCTTCGGGCAGGCTCTGGAAGAAGTACTTGGCAATCGAGTCCTGACACGAGACTCATCGGCACCACTTCCGCTCTTTTCGGACAAACCCTAAACCCTAAACCCTAAAGCCTAAACCCTAAACCCCTTGAGGCTTCTAAGATTGTTCCCAGGACTCCAGCATCTAAAAGCATCTTCACACGGGCCACCCCCCGTTTTCCGCGAGAGCGCTGAGGTATAATAGCCCATCCTGGTAAGCCCCTCTACCCTCAGCCCTTTTTGCATCTGGAGTGCGGGAGCAAATG